CCCCCTCTAATATATTATCTCACAGAAACGTCCCTTTTCAAAAAATGCCCCCCCCCCCACGGAAAAATCCTTAAAAAAGGCCCTGGTCCCTTTTCATCATCTGTAGCTGGTATACTGTAGATTGAGAGATTAATTAGCTCTCACGCTGTCTAATGCCAGAGGTCATCAGGGGGAGAGTGTTGACATTCTGTGGGTTAACCAAGCTTTCGCCCATGCATTATGCTGCTCACACTTTAAGTGGCAATGTGCCCTACTTTACTCTTTCTATAACACCAGATGATTTTACTCTGCCAAAATGCCAGAGGTCACTTTCAGTCCTATCAGGATAACCTCTACTTTTTAAAGTACGGTAATGACTGTATACTATTATCCTATGTATAATCCCAGAATCTCTACAGAATCTGAGTGTACACCTCCAGTATATTACCCAGAAGCTTTGACCTCTCTGTGTTCCTGTTCCTCGTCGTGTTTCTGTGGCAACTATTTAAGAATATTAAAACGAGCGAATTAAGATGAGAATCAAGAGAGAGTTGATATCCTATGCAGTTTGTCTCATTTGTAGCTTTGACGAGAATCAGAATTATTTCTTAGCTAGAGCACACATGGCAATTACATGCAAAAGTTATGCCAATTTGCATGCAAAATTAATGGCATCATTTGACATGTTTGATAGTTTAAATAACTGGGATCAGAATCAGACTTGGGAAAAGCAGACACTACTTGTTAATCTCAGCACCAGATTATTTAAAGCGTACTTTGTTCCTCCCAGACAGCAGCAGTGTTATCAAATGAACATGTTGCTAAGACTTGACCAAACTCTGGATGTGCCCACGTTACGCGCCATACTGAACCGTAATGAGTCTGGAGTATAAAATAGAATATTACTTCATTAATAAATACAAGTGTCAAGGGGAGTACCAGTTCAAAATAAATATACTTTACCTTCCAACTAGCAGTGCATTTCCATTCTGCATCTTCACCAAGATCCCAGACCTGTTGAGACAATTTAGTTTATAGCAAGTTGCATTGAAATGTACACACCATATCTGAGGGTATGAGATTAATTTTTTTTCAAGACGCTGTGGATTGCGAGAGATACAAAGTTCTAGTGTAGCTGAAAAATATATATTAAGGGATGGACCATTAGATATTTGAGGGGGGGGTTGGGCAAATACCAAAAAAAAATTCAACGGACTTTTCGGCGAACTTTCTGGGACAAATTTTTTAGGTCATCTTAAAAAAAATATCGTGCAAAGGAATGTTGCAGAAAAAAAATTCTTGCAAGCAATTGGGAGATGAAAAAAAAATTCGTGCACAGAAAAATTGCCCAAACCCCCCCCCCCCCAAATATCTAATGGTCCGTCTCTAATAAGCTGAACTTCAACATTTCAAGCAATTAGGCCTTTTACATTGCCGTATTATAATCATATGGCCGAAGCAGCATATGCCATGAACCCTGCATTTTTAGCCCCCCCCCCTGCTTACTCTTTTCAATTTTTTCTCCCTGTTTTGGCACGGGGCCCAATGCACAGCAGGTACATGTATATACTTTTAGGTTATTACTTGTCATATGATATTATTGCTGATACCCACAGTGTCACTTAATTTTATAGTTCAAATTATTGAATATGTTCCTTTTTTGTAAATACACACTGTCAGGCAACTTTTCAATGCATGGAACACAAATTTATGGATATTTTAGTATTCTTGAACTTTCTGAATTCAGTGTTTAAAATGC